TGAAAGTATATCGCCGATGCGATAAGCTTCGATCGCTACGTCGTTCCTTTAATCGGCTTCTCAACGATGCTCAAGGCGCATGCATGAGTAAACTCCCATATGTATATGTGTGTGTATGTCTGATTTGTATAAATATATAAATGTATATATGTGTATATATAAACATAGATACATGCGTATATATATATATATGTGCCAAGTGTGTATGTTATATGCGAGGGCAGGACGTACTCGTTCGCTCCTCCGACTTTCATGGGAAAGTCGAGCATCGTATAATATATTATGGTATCTTGCGAATAGCGTGTGCTTAAAAAAGGAGAAATAAAAAAAGAGTGAAATCAGGCGCGTTCGATAGGAAAAATCAATATACTTATATATATATATATATACACACATACACATCGATTCATTTCATATATATGTTCTCAACCGTGTGATCATCCTTCAAAGGATCCTTCTCTCGTTTACTATTTCACGAGAGAAAGGTAATTGCATTGTGCAAGAATTGTACCATGGGTTATCAGGGAAGGCTATTTTATTGCGTAAGAATTGGTATTTGGGAAGACGACTGTACTAAGATGTAGATGCATCTTCGTATACAATCGCCTTCCAAAAAGGGTGCGAAATATATTTTTTTTCTTTCTTTATTTTATTCCTCATTTTTTCTTTCGTCTTTAGTTACGAACCTTAGTTTCTCTGCGTATTCTTAAGAAACGATATCGTGTATCGTTTAAAGTTTTAAATCTTCCGACGACGATTGAAAAGCGACAAGGATCGATCTCCGTTCGAGCGACAAATAGAACAATCGCGTGTAATCGCACGCAATCCGTAAGAGAAAGTGGGCTAATGCGGATTGGAGAATAATATTCGACGCCTTTGTTTCTCGTTAATCTCTCGTTTATATCTCTACCTACATTTATACACATATATAAATATATGTATGTGTGTGTTTGTGTGTGTAGGAGAACGAAGCAAGAGTTAAGAGTGCACATGCGAAATACTTGACTTACTTCGCGGAAGTAGTAAAGGATTTGAACATTTCTTTTGCGAATACACGCACGGTTTATCCATGCGTTTAACCTTTTGCGTGCACGTTATCCTATCGTTTCTTATTATATTATGCTATAAGATAATTCGACGAACGAAACGGTAGAGGGGTGTATAATTCCATGCAACTCTTATCTAATCCGATTATTATTTTAACGAAACTCTTCGTGGATGGATAAGACAGGAAGGAACATAGCAACAAAAAAAGGAAAGAAAAAGAAAAAAGAATTAAAATAAAATAAAATAAAAATCGTTTCACACGTGTTGCAGGAGATTCGTGTGAGCTTTAACTATTCAATTCATTTGCGGAGTTAGTTTTATTTGACATTTTGTGTTGTAACGATGGAAAATTTCAATGGAACCACGTGGGTTAGTTTCGAACATTGGTAACTTGAGTCCTCTCGATGATGGATGGGTCGTTAGGAATAAAGGGCCGTTTGTTTCTTTGAGAGAGAGAGAGAGAGAGAGAGAGAGAGAGAGAGAGAGAGAGAGAGAGAGAGAGAGAGAGAGAGAGAGAGAGAGAGAGAGAGAGAGAGAGAGAGAGAGAGAGAGAGAGAGAGAGAGAGAGAGAGAGAGAGAGAGAGAGAGAGAGAGAGAGAGAGAGAGAGAGAGAGAGAGAGAGAGAGAGAGAGAGAGAGAGAGAGAGAGAGAGAGAGAGATAGCGGTAGAAACGAGCAACGTAGAAATTAAAGTGCTTTAACGGCTGAATTAGACCTTATGCGATGGCGAGGTCGTTGCCATCGTAGCAACGGGCCAACGTTCTCGGTTATGTTGTCTCGTTACGCGACGTTGTTGTCTAAAAAGGATGAGTCATAATTTCGATTTATCCTCAATATACCTGTATCCAGAAACCATATATTGCTCTTCGAACGTTCTTATTAAAGATTAATTAATAAACAATTAATTTCTATAACATGTCGGTTTCCCTGATATATATGTGCGTATTTCTGTGTTTAACGCATCAATCAACAAATGCTTTGGTAAATTTACTGTAAGCAATGATGGATGCACATTTCTTGATCAGAGAAAAAGAGGAATATGAAATAGTCAGAACGTTAACAGCAGGTATCGCGCGTTGCTAGACTAAGCCAGGAAAATGATAATTTCGCTTAATCGTACTTCCTCCTTGAAAGATCGCCTCCAGTTGAATACCGTATTTCAGAAAGCGGCTAATGCTGCCTACCTCACTCTCGGGCTTGTGTGTAGTCACCAGAGAAAAAGTATCGGCACGGCCCACATTAATTCTATGAGAGAAGATGGACGAAGCGAATGGCGTGTAGTGGTTAAGTCGTTCTATAATTTTACTCGATACTTTATCGAAAGTAAAGAGAGAAAATAAAGAAAGTAAAGAGGGGAAGAAAGTATAGAAATCGAAGAAAGAAAACGTCTAAGTTTACATGAAAAATCTTGTAAAATTGAGATTAATATTTTGTTAGATTAACACAATAGAATAGTTACAATAGGGTAAAAATAATCCAATTAATGGAAAGATTTAACGGAAAACGCTGATGATAATATCAGCTATTGAAACTGTTTTGAATTAACTAACGTGAAAACTTATGTCACTTTTGCTAGTGATGTCTTTTTTGTGAACTATAGGCTTCATCATCAGAGGCATCATGAGAGAAATCTCTTGTTAGTTGTAAGTGATGGCAAATGAAGTATGTCCTTTTGTTGTTGTTATTATTGAGAAGTTTCTTACTAATTATTATTTTTTTTCTTCCTTACAAAAAGCATTGTTGGACAACCATTTTGAAATAACATACTAACAAAATTGAATTTCTAGACCATTGCCTGAGAATTTTATTTCTGTATGTTTTGGGGATTTGGATGAAGATCTATCGGTTCTAAGATACGTGATATTAATCATAGTTTATATATAATCATAATTTAAATCATAATTTAGGAAACAATGAAGATGAATCGAAATCAATATTTTGAAACATTGTATCTAATTTTATTTGTATTAATTGTTTTTCTATCATTTTTATTTTTTACTGCAGATAAGTTCTCAAGTTACATTTAACAAATTTTATGAAAATATATATATTATTATACATTGTGTTGTTATAGACTATTTCAATATACTTTTAAAAAATAATAACAGTAATATTTAAATTCGATTAGTATGATCTTAATTAAGTTCTCTTATAAATACTCTTTTGTCCACAAATAGTTCTTTTTTTTCTTTTTTAATTTTTAAGTATTAACTATTCGAACAAATTTGAGCTTTTTTGTTAAAAAGAAATTAAAAATATAATTTGTCATCGTTTTGCGATTTTGAGGTATGGAATGTTTAGAAAAAGAGTTAGTGCATAATAGATATGTATTTCAAACGTCGCGAATGCTTGATATAATCCTGAGAATAAAAAAAAAAATCGTGGAAATTTTCTTAACAATGCCCGCTACTGTGACATTTATCTTACAAGCTTAGTACTTGATTGAACATATTGACCATGTTTGAAAAATGACGTAACAAACTCTTCGAAAGTTATTTTAAAATGAAAAGTAACCGTTCTATAACATGAGAATTCGTACGATGTTATATTGCGAATGTGTTATATGAGAAAAAATATCATTTGATGAATATCAAAAATACATACATACAAAATTTGGCATTTCGTTTAAAAAAAATTATAAAAAAGATTAATATTTCAAAGATTTTTAATAATTTAAAAAAATTTTTGCTTTAATAAAAATCTTATTTTACTATATAACATTTCATAATAATAATAAATGTAAATAAATAATACGAAAATGATAATAAAAGTAAAATGATATTTAATAATGATACTAAAAAATTTCGAACAAAAATTCACAAACATAAATTGTTAAGTTTATTAATTTTTATTTTCAGTTAAAAAATATCTTGATTATATGTATACTATTTAAAATAATTATATAAGTGCTCCCACAATTTTCAGATCTTGCTATTTGAAAAGCGTGTTCGTAAATTGAAAATTATACAATAGAGATTTACCTGTACAAAGATTGACAGAAGATATTTTACCTATTAGTAGGTATTCTAAGACAGATTCTCAATATGGTCTTGACTATGCTCAGACTTATCGTAAATCCTCTTGTTACAAGGTTGAAACCGTCATTCTTGTCGTGGACATATTTTTTATTTCAAATGGTTATTCCTTCTTAAGTAGCATGACGTTGGGTCATTGGCCATATATTTGTATACATAAGTTAATGCCAGTGAAATATTGAGCTTTTCACCATACTACGAGACATAACATTCGTGATTCTTAAAATAACTATTCTAGCGTATCGCAACTTCAAACTATCGCCTAACATAAACAACGTTGATAGATTTAAGATCATCGGAAATGACTCAATACTCTTAAACTTAGCCATAGTTTTTGTTTATTGTATTAGTTTCGGAACGGACATACATTTGTCTTTTATAAAAAGCTCGATGTTAATAAACATTTGTATAAGAATAAAAATAGAAGGATAGATTTGATAATGGTCGATTGAAAATGCTAATATATTTCTTTAAATATATTTGAAAAGAGATTTGAATTATTTTTAATTAAACAGATTGACAAAATATATGTATATGCATAATATTTTTTTTCATTTTGTTTAATATTATTTTATTAACGCGAGGCAATAATCATTTATAAAAATATAGCTAAATCTTATTGATACTGCTTTTACATATTTAACTTTAATTAAAGACACTTCTTTTTCTTTTTCTTTTTTTCGCCTCATTATTATTAAGTCACGTTAGATCGAAATTGTACCGTGAGAAACGAAGACTTATTTTTACTACGTTGGGTATAATTTAAGAGTTAATGGTAATGAAGAAGAGGTCACATGTCAAGTAGTAGCTTTTTCAAGTCAATAGTATAATCGAAGATTTCGAAGATCTCTCTGGAAGATCTTTCGTTATCCCACGTTATCCTTACTCATTTCTGATCGTTCAATTGTTTTACTTTCAGATACTCCAACGAGACATAGAGGCACACGGGCGTATCATAAGCTCGGTCGTGAAGTTGAGCGAGAGAGTATTCAAACAACGACAGCAACAGTCGGCCCAATCATTAAGAGTCGCGAGATCGCTCGAGCGTCGCTGGCATCTTCTCTTTTTACGTGCTCTCGAGTGGCAGTGTCATATCGAAACCCTTGCATCGCGAGCAAGTAATAAGGTAAGTAACAAAAAAGAAGAAAAAAAATTAAAATCATCGATCACTCTAATTTCTGTACCCAATCGATATTATCGTCCTCGATGATGACTAATAAGTTTCACTTTGATATATACAACATATATTCATGCGAGTTAGCCTAGCTTTTATCTCCACACGAAAGACACAATAAATCATCGAAAACTTTCACGTGAGATCAGTCTATTCAACATCGAAGATGTCCTAAATTCGGACTTTTCATTGGCTGCCATCGTTGTTTCTTTTCTCAAGGATAATTACCGTAATGATGAGAATACAGACGCAATATGTAGTTGTTAGTTAACTACTTAAGAAAGTATGGCGAACTTCCTTCACGAATCGTATGTATAATCAAAACCAATACATTCGCAATGTTTAGTTAAGATTTTCTTTTGAAAAAAAAAGATCGATCAAATCATCAAATGTCGTTATGTATGAACTTGTCGCCTGTGTCATTGTGAGAATATCGATGCGTGACTTTTCGAGCAGCAAACGGCTTTTGTTTCTTAGGAGGAGAGAGGATAAAGAAACAGAGAGAGAAAGAAAGAGAGAGAGAGGCTTATGCAATGAGTTATCCTGTTCCACAGGATATAAAATTATAAAAATCTACAGCGTGTCTGCTTTACCTTTCGTACCTCGTCCTCGATTGGTCTCTACCTTGGAAAAAAGATCGGGTTTGTTCTCGAAGGTTTTTCAACCGGTCTCTAGAAAGAGAGAGAAAGAAAGAGAGACAGAGAGAGAGAGAGAGAGAGAGAGAGAGAGAGACCGAGAAAGAACTAAGATCGTCTTTAAAATTGTCTAAACTTAATGACGTTACGAGAGATAATTTTGATGAAGTACAAGTATAAATCTTTACAGATTTTTGGTTCGTAAATCTTAGAAAATAAATCTAGGTAAGAATTCTTTCAAACTAACAATAAAATGAAACATTGAAAGAGACCCCATTATTCTCGCTAACTTAGCATGTCTTCTCTTAGTCGACCTTTTTTCTTTTTTCTCTCTCTCTCTTTTTGTTTTTTTTTTATCGGTTCCCATTCTCAACTGTTTTACCTTGGTAATGCAAGATTTCGATGTGAATGTTGTTTTAGGTAACTTGTTGAAAAACATCGAATGATCGTGTCGCTACCGTTTCCATAGTGATGATTATCAGAACGATAAAGTCGATTCGATAATTCCTGAACGCATGTTAACGTTGGGGTGTCTAGTTTCAAATTCAGAATAACGCGCGTGAATATACATTAGTACAGGATACATAATATTGGAAATACGTATAAAAAAAAATCGAACTTTCTGAATGGAAAGGAAAGATTTCTCTTGATAAATCCGTGAATCATGACTGATATCTTAAAACACTTTCTTCTTCGTTATCGATTAGCCAATTCCATTGGATCAATTGAAATCGGACACCTTATATACGTCTAGAATACGGGTCTACATATATATATATACATACATACACATATCTGTATGTGTATGTATATGTATATGTATACGCATACTTTATTTCAGAGTGGCGTTTCTTGCCAATGCAGTAGCGAGAGCGACGAGGAGCCGGTCACGAAACAGCCTCGCTTGAGTTGTAGTAGACAATCTTGTGGTTCCGGAAGAGAATCTCCTGCCTCCGTTGGTATTACTCCGACTACAACGATCATTAACAGCACTACTACAACTGCAACTGCTACTACTACTACTACTATTACTACTACTACTACTACCACTACTACTACCACTACTACTACTACTACTAGTACTACTGCTAAATACGTTCGTACGAAGCAAACAAAGCATTTTAGATCTCGAGTAAGAAGAGATTCCGAGAGAACAAACAGTTCAAGAAACGAATTTTCGGATAGCGATGCTTCGTCCGAGATTCAATCTGTCGACGAAGGATCCTACTTTGAGGTTCGTATAATCGATTATATCGACTTCTTTTTTTTTTCTTTTTCTTTTATTTAATTTTTGTTTTGTTTTCACCAACATTTTCCTCGATCCTGACTCTCATTTTATCTTGTGGTAATTATCATCGTATTCTTATCTATCACGATTATAACCTCTTTTCGAGCTAGGCGCTCGAACGTTTCTGATTAACAGTACCTACCTTTGTAATTATGACGCTGGTTTTATTTCGAGCAGTAATTATCGGCAAGAGTTCGAATTAGTGGGTTCGGGTGGGGGAAGGCGAAAGGATTGAAGCAGAGAGAGGATAGAAAGGAGAGGGGGAAGTACTGGAGGAAGGAACTTTGGTGCGGGTATGAATATTTCTCAGTCACGGTGCAGTCGTCTACTTCGAGTTGCTTTCGACTATTTCACTTCTACTACCTACCCCCTTTCTACTTTTACTTTCCCTCATTGGGAGAATGATTTTCGAGAGCCTTGAGAAGCTCGCATTTCAGTGTAAGTGACGTTTCGACTAATCGCGGATAGTGCGTAGAATCCTCTCTCGAACTTTGATTTTCTTCGTCTCGCTGAACTCTCTTTTGAGTAGTTCACAAGTGGGAGAGAGAGAGAGAGAGAGAGAGAAAGAGAGAGAGAGAGAGAGAGAGAGAGAGAGAGAGAGAGAGAGAGAGAGAGAAAGAGAAAGAGAAAGAAAAAGATGCGTGTGCTAAGAAATTGGACGTGCACGTGCATCAGCCTACAGAGCATGTTTGGCTTCAGGATTTTTTACGAAATCTCGCGTTACGTGGCGAAAGTTTTAATTTATTTTAGTTTTTTTTCTTCTTTCTTCTCTTTTTCGTTATTATTTTTTGGATTTTTTTGCCCTTCTCTCTCTCTCTCTCTCTCTCTCTCTCTCTCTCTCTCTCTCTCTCTCTCTCTCTCTCTCTCTCTCTCTTTTACTCTTCTCGTTTCTCTTCCTCGTTCGAAGTAACGTTGCACAAGATCGCCTTACGAAAGAATTCGAGAGTTCACTCACCTCGACACGTCGATTGATGTCGGTTAAATTCTGATCTGTTGGTCCGATTCGATTTCTTCTTGCAGGATGAATTATGTCAATTCTGTGTGATGGATGCTAAGTTCGAGGAAGCAGAAAGTAGTATTACTAGAATAGTTCACGGAGTAGCGATAGAAACAGGAGACCAGGGGGAAGAGGCTGACGTAGAAGAAGAGGAAAGAGACGACATGCCGCCGACACCTAATACCGCACCAATGACGTCGTCTACGACGACGATAATACGAAATCAGACGGCTGAACAGGCTAAAGAATCCGTACCATCAAAAGAGACCCTGAAGAGACGTCGTTCACTGACGCCATCCACAAATGCATCACCGATTGAGGAGGCAGCTTCCTTTAACACGTAAGACTCTTCTTTAGGTCTTTTTTTTCTTTTCAATTTGCCAGACTTAGAAAAGTTTAATTACAATTAATTTTTCTATATGTTTTAAGATACCGATAACCTTTATGATTTCTTTTTAGATCCGATAGAAAATCAAAGAACTGCGCCATCTTTTATTTCAAACATTTAGATACGGATTCCGAAGTAGATTGTTGTCAGGCAAACGAAGAATCCGCAAACATGGTAGATGATTCTTCCGAGGAAGAATGGACTTACACATCTTCCCGTGCTAATAATTATGTTTGCTCAGAGGAGAGGAAAACAAACGTGGTCGTTCGATTAGATTTCGACGAGACGCCGCGTGTTAGCGTGAATGAGAAGATGCGATTTGTAGAACATGATGACAGAATGGTTGAAGTTAAAGAGAACGAAGAAGTTGAGGAGCGAATATCGAAGAGACAGGCGAAGAATGTCGATCACGAGGAAGAGGAGGAAGAGGAGGAGGAGGACGAAGAGGAGGTGGCAGCGATAGCGGATGCTCCGGAAAAGGATAGCGATGACGATGCGAAGAGCGACAAAGTTAGCATAGGAAGATTGATAAAGGAAGTAGAAAAGTTGGTAAGGGAAGAGAGACAGGCTACTTTTCCCAGAACGTTTCCTCCTTTAATATTTGAAGAAAAAAAGGGGACAACGATGAATCACCGGGCGAAATATGCTCGTATAAAGGAATGGTTGAGAATGAATTCAGCAAGAGGTCATGAAGTTGCGAGGACAGGCTTATTACAGGTAGGCTCGTCGCGTGCTTTTTATTATCACTTCTCCTCCTCTTTCTCCTTCTCCTCCTTCTCCTTCTCTTTCTCCTCCTCCTCTTTTTCCTCTTTACTCGTCTGGTCTGGTCCTCCTCTAGCCAATTAATGCCGTTTTCTAGCCCCTAGACAGCTGTGACGCGAGTGGGGAATATACGACAGAGGAATCTGATGGGGAGAGGCAATCTGTCTCGTCGGAGGATCTGCAGAGTAGTGTCGCGACCTATCGTCGCTTTGAAAGCGGAGCTCTCGGCCGAGCACAGTCACAGTCGATGTCGCAAGAAATAATTGAGGACTTTGATAAAACGCCCGTTAATGAAAACCGTTCGGTATTGGATAGCTGTACACCAAAAGTTATAATGCGTTCGAGACAAAAAACAAATGGTCCTAGACCTTGGAGCGTTTCTTGCATATCACAGATAGCTTCGAGTTCCGGATTGAATCAGGTCAATGATTCCATCTCGCAATTCTCGATCTCGCAATCTGAGACAGCCCTGCATCAGCTCGTTGTATCACCGCCAACTAAATCTATTTCGTTGGATGCTGCGTAAGTATCAAATTGATAACTTTATTACTGAGTTTAATTAAGTTTAAATACATGATAAATTACTATATGATAATTACAGAGGTTTACCTAAGTCATTTAATAATTCAACGTCGACTTTGCTAGAGGAGTCGATCATATGTCAAGACGGACGTACGGCTAGAAATAGTTCATTACGTAGGAAAAAAAGTAGGCTTAAGAAGAAACATTTGGTAAGAACAAAATATCTTTCTAATTCTCTAATTGAATAATATCAAAGAAGTTAAATGATCATTTTCGATATATTATACTCTAGGGTCGGAAAAGTGGTTCTAGTTCCGAATGTGTTAGTGGAAATCATCATTCAGCAGGAAGCGATGGTAGTTTGAATCAACAAAAATCTCTTCGTAAGATGAATACAAATCGAGTTTTACGTGCAGTTTCAAGGGAGTGTTATGGACATTCGACGACTCTTGTTAAATCTGGTTCCTTCTCAGGATGTACCGCTCATCAACAATTAAACGTTGAAACATTGCCTGTGGGCGATTCTTCACTGGCACTTGCTATGCCCTGCTGTCGTGACTTGGTTGCTTCAACGGAGGCGGAAGAAGAGGAACGCAGTTGTATCAAAGGTTGTTCCACTTATGAAGACAGTTTATTAGACACTGTCCTTAATAGCAAAGAACTCTACAATCGACAATCTAATGTCGACAGTGACGTAGAAATGAATAGCCTTGGTAACAATTCTTTCTCAGAGCAAGCTTGGGATAATTATCAGGTATTCATATTTTTTTCTATTTTTTTTCTCTCCTTTTCTTTTTTCCTTTGTCCTTATATATGTAAAAATGAAGTATACTTTCGTTTCACCTTGGTAGATCTATTTTTATTATTGCGATCCTTACTTAAAATGCAAATCTCAAAAAAGATCCTTACCTCTTCGTAGGAAAAATATATGAGTGAAACATATAGTGAAGCGCCGGATGTAGAAACAGCACGAAGATTGTTGGACTTTGGAGATGATTATAGAAACTTTCTCGATAGTCAATCGGATTGTGCTTCTAGTATGAGTGCTCTTCCTGGTAGTTCATCAGTGATGCCTCGAAATCGGATGCGCCATGTACGTGCCATTCTGTTCTTTATATTCGATCAAGTATCAATGTTTTTCTTGTAAATTATTTTCAATTTTTATTTTCGATTTCTACAAATACGTATTATAATTGTTTAAACATTTGTTTAACATTTGTTTAAACATTTTCAAAGTATATTTTAGTTTTACGTATAGTTTTACATAGTATATCTAATGATGAATTATCAAAAAAGGAAAACAAATTAATAAAAAAAGAAGGATATATACAATTTTATCCTATATAATTATTGTGCGAATAAATTTTTCAATCAATGTGCAGAGTTGTATTTTTTTACTTTTACATAACGATAATAGCAAATAATTATAAATTCCTTGTATATAAGAGTACGTTTTTTCAAATTATACCAAACAAATTCTAATATTTCGTAATAACTTTACACGATAGATACTTTCACTCCTACATAACCTTGATCTTGCCAATGTACATTTAGTAGTACAAGGTTACAAAACGACTTGATAGGGTTATAAAACGATTTGTTATACACGAAATTTGAAAAAATTTTTTTTCTTTTTCTTTTAGGAAGTAACCGATACTACCGAAGACAGTGATAGCGACGTGGAAGAAATACGTAATGTCCTTGAAAAATCACAATCGCAATGCGTGCTTGCGGAAAACCTTTTTTTAAGATCAAATGGAACTCTACCGCAGGAAAGTGTACGTATTTCAAATGCTATTGCTGATCAGCACATATTGCTTTTGCAAAATTTTTATTTACATTTATGGGCATGGTTGAATTATTTGTGGAGTAATACTTTTCGTAATATTTTTACTACATTTTATAGAGTTTAGTTTTGCATTAAAGAAATCATATATGTATCTGTATGAAACTACATCTTTTTGAATGATCATTCAATTAGTATATGTATATGTACAATGATCACGTATTTAATTTTTCGTTTTTTTTTTTTTCATTCCTTTTTTTCATTTCTTTATTTGTTTCTTTATGTTTTCTTTTTTGTATCATCAGAGATATGATTTAATAACTTGCGTTTGCGCATAACATGATATGTGCTATAGGTGCTTTATTATAATTAGAAGAACACAGACGAGATGTAAGTGTTCTTATAAAAGTTTGATTAGAAAAGGAGAGAGATTGATACATCTATGATTTTTCATTATCTTTCTCTTTTTAGCCATCTATTAGATCTGTACACTATACTGTATCGTAAATAACTGATAAGATAGATAAAGCGACATTCTTTCTGTCTGTGTTAATGTATTATTCCTCCCGATTGTTTGCTTTCATCCTTTAAAAAGAGAATAAAACAGCAGTATTCTTAAGATATAATACGTATTTGTAGAAATCGAAAATAAAAATTTGCGAGAAGAAGAAAATGTATGTATAAGCTGTTCCAACCTTTGTATGTTATTACATAAAAAAATTTTTCACGTATATATGACAATCGTGACTATAATAATAAAAAGAAAATAAAAAAAAAAGGAGATACATTGTTTGTTGTAATTTCGTTGTTATGGCTGCGTTAGCAGAAAGCTGTATTTTTTTATTATTTTTTTTATCACCGTACATATCAAATGACGCATGAGATAAACCGAGAAAGAAAGTCACTTGAATGCGTTGAAATTTATATTTATTAGATCACAATTATTTAGTGCTTTTCATGTTTTTTGTAATAGCTCTACAAATTGTGTCTATGTGTATGCGTGTTTTAAGAAAAACAAAAAAGTAATAATAATAATAATAATAATAATAATAATAATAATAATAATAATAATAATAATAATAATAATAATAATAATAATAATAATAATAATAGTAATGATAATAATAATAAACAATACAGAATAATAAACGAATTAAAAGGCTTTCGATTGATCATTGCTCAACCTGTTCGCAGGTCGAAGTGGAAAGTGCGTGCAGGGAGAATTTGAGATGCCTGAACACATTGCTCGAATCTATCAGCGGATCATTCCGGACTGAGAAATATACGAAGCAAGTTCGTGGTGAGTACGGTCAGATTCAGCGTCTAACAAATTTTACTTCGTATATCAGCGCACTTTTGATTATTGCCCTCAGTAGTATTATACTAATTTTTCTTTCTTACCATTCGTCGACTGATAGACTTTTGCAATATTTTTGTTAGCAAGAGAAAGTATTTCGTTTTAATTATTAATTCATGATTTTATTATTTTGCGTAATAATAAAAATAATAATAATAATAATAATAATAATAATAATAATAATAATAATAATAATAATAATAATAATAATAATAATAATAGTAATAATAATAATAATAATAGTAAAAATAATAATAATAATAATAATAATAATAATAATAATAATAATAATAATAATAATAATAATAATATTATTTTTCCTTTATCGATGATTTTTTATACCTGCTGGAATCTGTTTGCACGTTTATATTACTCACACATTGGCATTGTTTACATGTTTATGTATGCATGTATGTATTGACGAGATTACATTCCTGATCATCTTCGTACCAATTGAAGCACGATTTATCATCGATCTACCTGCATGTTTTACGGTCCCTTTTCACTCGGTATTGAAAAGCTGCTTGTAAAAATAGCGATTCGTAAGGTAGTATAGAAAATCTTTAGAACAATTTAATCGAACAGATTAAATTATAATTTGTTCATAATAATAACTCCTTATTTCATCCTACCTATCCCCTACTTTTTTACCCTTTATTTTGTTAATTCTGAACATATTATTTCATTTTAGGTTTGATCTTTTCTTTTTCTTCTTTTCTTTTTTATTCCTTTTTTCCTCGCTTTTATATATACATTTATAATATAACACTTCGACGTATGTTTTATATTTGTATATGTGTTTGCATTGTAATTATTGTATAATAAATGCACTTGCTTTTTTTTTTTCTTCTATCGGTTTTCCTATCAATAACATTTTTGTTCTCATTTATCTGTTTTAATGTACTTAAGTTTTATATGGATCATCTAGTTTTTTAGAATATATACGTGTGCGTGTATTTCATGTAATCAGTAATCCATAATACATGTTCGCGCGGGCGATTTAAAAATTTTCTTTCGAATATACGAAACTAATCTCTCACTCTACTCTCAGAATTTTAGATTATTTATATAAATGGATACATATTTACTGTAGATAATTTTTTCGATTAACTATAATATACTATTATACGTTTATGTATGTATGAATGTATGTAATACACACACATAACACATATATTTGTATGTATGTATCCAAGCATGTAATACGCATATATATGTATATATATGTGCATGTATATGAATGTATGTATGTATATGTAATATGTGTATGTATATGCATACATGTATATAATACGCATATATATATATATATATGTAAGTTCAAGTAAATCAACTGTACAATACTTTTCTATATATCTTTTCTTTTTTCTTTTTTTTTTTTTATTAAGTGATCGCGTAGGAGAATAAGTGTGGGCGCGCGCAAGCAAGCAAGTCGTGAACGCGCGGTGTGGGCCCCGTCTCTCTCACCTTATAAGAGCGAAAGCACACGAAGATCGCGTTCGAGCATTTTCGCAGAACCGCGAAATGGCACTCGATATCTGCCGCGCGTCGGAGCATTCGTAGTAGTATTACTCAGGACACTCTCCTGTCTATTTTCTGTGGATGATAGTAGTGTTTACGTACGTTAGTTCGTTGTGTTTATGTACATACAAAATGTATGAAACGTACGTAAGTAATTAAGTAAGTAAATACGAGTTGTACGACGTCGTGCGTCTTCCTAGGAAAAAAAAAAAAAAAAAATAAAGAAAAAGAAAATAAAAAAAGTAAAAACAAAAACCGTCATCATGAGAGTTGATTAACAATTTCGCTCTAAAGGGAAGAACACAAACGGTGCGACGATTAAAAAAAAAAGACATTTTCGAAGTGTATATCTTCTGACAAAAGATTGATTTTTAATCGATTTTGTCCTCAAAGAAAGACTGCTATGATTGTTAAATCGTACGACGTCAAAGATAATGGCCGGAAAAGAGCAGAAAATCGACGTACGTAATGGACTTTATTATATATGTATCATGACTGAATTTAAAAGTATGTATATATATATATATATATATATATATATTTATAACCCTCGGCACAGAGATATTGCGCGTTATACTCTTGATAATTTCAGTGATGATCGCATACCATTCTTGCTTTTTCTCTCTGTCTCTAGCAGCTATTAACAAGCACGATCTATGTAATTCGATCATGATACAATTTAAAGGTCATGACGTGTTGTGTTGTGTTGAATATGTGCATTATATATATATATATTTAGTTATACTACTTCCATATATTTTTTTACGTTTTCCAAGAGTTATATATACGTTTTGTGTATTTGCATATATCTCTTTTCCCTTATCTCTTTCTTTTTTATTTCTTTATCTCTTTATCTTTTTATTTATTTATTTTTTAAATTGCGATATGATCTTTTGATCTCTTCCCCTGGTGGTACAGTAGCTTTCCTTTGTCTTCTTTCTTTCTTACTTTTTTTTCTTTCTTGTTTTATTTCGTATGGTACAGTTAACTTCTTCGATGTTTCTTAATTTATTAACAGTTTTATTTGATATTATAAGATAATTTCATTTAAATATGTTTATATATATATATATATATGTATGTATGTATGATGTATGTATGATGTATGTATGTATGATATATGTATGATGTATGTATGTAGGTATGATCTATGTATGTGATGTATATATATATGTATGATCTATGTATGTATGATGTATGTATGTATGATGTATGTGTGTATGATCTATGTATGTATGTATGATGTGTATATGATCTATGTATGTATGTATGTATGTATGTGTGTATGATCTATGTATGTATGTATGTATGTGTGTATGATCTATGTATGTATGTATGATGTGTGTATGATCTATGTATGTATGTATGATGTGTGTATGATCTATGTATGTGTGTATATGTATGTGTGTGTATATCTGTATGTAAATATGTATGTATGATGTATGTGTGTGTATATCTGTATGTAAATATGTATGTATAATGTATGCGTGTGTGTAGTAAGTATGTATGATGATGTATGTATGTATGTATGCGTGTGTATGTATGTATGTATGTATGTATATCACAATAATTTTTTCGTTCTAGTTAGATTCGTCTATAGTAGTAGAGTTTCATTCGAGACGTTCACGGTCTTATTCCGACTAATTGCGAGTATAGGTTAATAAGCGACAGTACGGCTTTTCACCATGAATTTCCGTTGTAAACCGTGCTGCTTTGCTATCTGCGTGTTGATCGAACAGACGATCGGTTCAGATCTATTACCGGATGCTTCTAACATTAACCTATGTATCCTTTTTTGCTTAACCTCTTTCTCCTCTTTTCATTTTCTTCCTTGTTTTTCTTTTTTATTCTTTTAGTTTCGCATCATTTAACAACTTACTAGTTGTTTCTCATATTTGTGTTCTAACCTCAATCATCAAGTTTTTCAATATTTATACGTCAGGTTATTTTGTATCGTGAACGCATGATCTAATCGATGTTTCTATTTTTGGGAACAGGTTTCTTTGCTAAGCGTCACTTTTTTTCTTTTTATTATTTCTTTTTCTTTTCGTGAAATCATATATTGTCATATTTTAAAATTGATCGTCGGTATAGATTTTTTTCTTTCTTTTTCTGAATCACGATTTAGTATCGTATGATCGATCCATCAACGACAGAGAATACAGGTTAGTAAGTCTGATAATAAAAGCATGCGAAACGGAATTTCTTTCGCCTTTTACTCGTCTCTTGCTTTTTACTATTTACGAGAGCGAATAATTGCTCTTCCACCTTTACGAGCGCGTTGAATACGCACGGTACTGATCGCCCAACTTTCTCCGAGAAATCTTTCTTCGGCGATATTTCTCTAGTATCTTGACGTTTACGATATTATTTTCGAAAGAGGATTTATCGACGGAGCATATGTTTATCGACGTTTAGCGATCTCTTCGTAAGACACATTGGTGAAAGTAAGAGGAGTGGTATACGAGAGAGAAGAAAAAAAAATAAGTCAACGACGAAAGAAATTTTTTGGATTGAATATTGATAAAACTTTTTCTTAGGATAGTCGATAAAAGGGAAGAGGAGAACATTTTAGTTAGTAATATAATAACATAAAGGAAAAGTAGGAAATAAAGGAGGTCACGGAAGCCGCACATGCGATTCACATCTTATATTAACTTACGTAGGTAAATATAAGCAGCTTGACCTTAAATATCTCGTTCTTAATGATGATGTCAGATTACCGTAGAAACCATGTGTTCATGGACAATAGGTCGGGTCTCTTGGGCAACAAGGACGAGTTCGAATGTAGAAGAAACCCGTGTAAACCGGCTCTTTTTTAGTAACATTTAATACCAGTTGTCTGATTTATTTATTAGTGTAACGCCTTTTTTTATATTTTTTTTTCTTTTTTTTCAGGTGCAATAGAAAGATGGGAATCGTTAGCATCTCGGGTGGAAGAAAGTCGAATGGCGAGTTCGCTTCATCAGGAGTTATCCGCGATGCTGTTGGAATTTAAAGCCTCGCACAACAGGCTTATGGCTTATGAGATCGTTTTGGAACAACCTCATGTTCTGGACGAGCGTATTAATCGAATTACGGTAAGTTGTTTTTTTCTTTTATTTTTTTTTTTTGTATTATGTTTTTGCGGTTGATATTAATTACTGGAATTCGTAGTTATCAATGTATGTCGGTAAAGTAAAACGATTACCGAATTTTCGATCGGTAATTGTAGAAGTAGATTCGTAAGATAACTGATTGACGATGGTCGGTAAAGTAGAAATTTATCAGGACAAATCTTTTTTTTAGGAAAAATCGATATCATCTAACTTAATTAAGAACATTACGAATAATTATTAAAAGAAATTGAAATAATATCGAATACTATTAGATGTCTGAAACTAGATTTATTTTTTCATTCATAATTATATGAGACATACTTATATATTCAAGTAAGTTTTCTATAGAGTCGATCGGAATTGTTCAATAAAAAAATATATCTATTTCTAGATACTTTCTGAGCATCCTTCGTTATCGAATGTTCTACGAAAGTATGGTCAGGAATTAAAAGGGAAACGATAGGTCGTACTATCGAAAATATCGCGGCCGTGAGTGTGTGAGCATGTGTGTGTGTATATTGTAGAAAGAGGGTTGCTGGAGTGTGGTAAAAAGAGTGGTAAGAAAAGAGAGCGGGAATGTGAGGGGGTTAGTCAAGCAATAAGAAAGTTAAGAAAGGGTGGTCGGTAGAGAACCAAGTCTTCTCATAGGGGCACGACAAAGAGGAAGGGAAAGAAGAAGGTGACTGTGATGGTAAAGGAAGGAAGGAAGAGGAAAAGGTAGAGAGAGAGGAGGACGGTCAGGTGGTAAGCGAGGAGGGAGCGAAAGAGAGTAGCGTAAAAGCGTAGTCGTGTCGCACGTACGCTCGTCTGACGGGAACGTGCTCAGCATTGGAATTCGCAAGTGAACGTCGGCGAACGTAGAGCCACCCCCCGAGTTCGAGTTCCTCCAAACTCCGAGTTCCACCCTCGAGTTCCAATCCTGAAGTCAGAGGGAAGCTTTCGCGTCTACGTTGGCTGCTGCTGGCACCATCGCGGACACTACTACCACCACCACCACCACCACCACCACCACCACCACCACCACCACCACAACTATCTTCACCATTGCCACCCCTGAAGCTACCACCTCTACAATATCCTCCGACATCCCTCTCTTGGCTTCATTGCGAAGACCAAACACATGCTTCCTATCTATCATCAAGATGTATTAGCGTCCAACATTTGCTGGCTGAACTCGTTGCCGTGCTGCATTATGCAGGAGGTGCGGTAACCCACCGAAGACAGACAGAGAGAGAGAGAGAGAGAGAGAGAGAGAGAGAGAGAGAGAGAGAGAGAGAGAGAGAGAGAGAGAGAGAGAGAGAGAGAGAGAGAGAGAGAGAGAGAGAGAGAGAGAGAGAGAGAGAGAGAGAGAGAGAGAGAGAGAGAGAGAGAGAGAGAGAGAGAGAGAGAGAGAGAGAAAGAGAGAGAGAGAGTGAGAAAGAGAGAGAGAGAGAGAGAGAGAGAGAGAGAGAAAGAGAGAGAGAGAGAGTGAGAAGAGAGAGAGAGAGAGAGAGAGAGAGAGAGAGAGAGAGAGAGAGAGAGAGAGAGAAAGAGAGAAAGTGAAGTATATCTCGACTTTAAGTTTCTTATTTCTTCCTTTTCTTTCGTTCGCGACGGTTTTTTAATTAAGACAAATTCTACGAGATAGTCATGTCGGAAAAAAGAAGAAAAAGAAGAAAAAATACTCACATATAAAGACTAACTAATATGTGAATCTCTTGTTTTACATATATTTAGAGATTCAGAGGTGGTTTCGCGTCTAACTCACTTTCGGAAATAATTTAGTTATCAAGTGTTCCCATTCATATACGTATAAAAGCGTACGTGTATGTACGTAGAATTAGACTGTGTAAAACTAACAACGAGTACTACTCGGTCCTTGTCCTTTACTCATGTTATTTCGAGCCACCTTTATTTGGAATGATCATTCCTCACATCGTGTCCCTTTCACGGCGATAATGCTCGTTTTAAAGAGAGCCAATGCAATCCGGACAGTGCGTGCGGATAGCACGTGCCACGCAATTAAAATACTAGCAGAGGTTCTCCGTTCCACTTAACACCTCACGGTATTACAATGCGTAAAAAGCTAATTCCCCTAGTTCGACTGCGTACGTGACTCTCTCGGCTAGAAAGATAGAAAGAGAACAAGATGGAGAGAGAAAGAGAGAAAGAGCGAGAGAGCGAGAGAGCGAGAGAGAGAGAGAGAGAGAGAGAGAGAGAGAGAGAGAGAGAGAGAGAGAGAGAGTGTAGTCAAGCTAGTGGAGTAGCTCCTCATAGACATGCAGCAGTCGAACGCGAGGCGACCGCTCTCGTGTATACCGAATTCGAATCAATTGATTGGCTGTTGATTGGAAATTGAATTAGATCGGAATGCGCGCATCCGTGGGGTAGAGATCGGCTTGGTAGGTACTGATGATGGTTACTACTTCTGCTGCTGCTGTTACTACTGCTGGTGGTAGTGATGGTAATGGTGGTGGGGCTTTACGAAAGGGGGACGCGATGCGAGACAACGGCTGTTTCTGCCTTTCGGATGCGCCACGAATATCAATGTGCTATACTTTTCGAGCCTACCCACACTCTGTGTCCACCATCTCTACCATCAGGTCCTTATACTCTTTTTTTTTGTTTTTTCCCCACTTAAAAAAATTTTTTTTCTCGTTTTTTTATTCTCTTTCTTCCTCTCTCTCTCTCTCTCTCTCTCTCTCTCTCTCTCTCTCTCTCTCTCTCTTCGAATTATTCTCGTTCTTTCGTTCAGCGATCCCCTTTAACTCATAGTAGTCTGCTAAGGAAAATTACTTCGGTGAGATAGATGGAAGCTCAAAGGAGTTGGAGAGAGAGAGAGAGAGGGGAGGAAGAGGATGTTATCGTCGTCTTCGTCGTCGTCGAGACGCAGAATGACCGCAAGGACGAGCTTTACGAGCACTCTAGAGGTCTTTCCTCTTCTCCCTCTTCCTCTTTGAATGAGAGAAATGGAACGAGGAACGAACTTCTCATTTTCGTTCTCTTACAACCATCCTACCTCTAACAACACCTTCCTCTTCCCTCTCTTCTCCTCTCCCAGTGAAGCACGACGTTGTCCTCATAAACTCGAGTTTATTTATGCGGCTCCCGTCGGTCGGTTTCTGCAGCAAGGACGACAGGGACGCGACAACGTGACATGCTTCCTTCATCGTCTATATCACCCTGAAACAACCCTTAGGATGCTATCCCCCTTTCCTCTTTTCCCTCTATCTTCCCACCTCTTCTATCTTGATAATCCACCTTCTTTATCAATACGTCAGATGATCATAAAAAGATGTAAAAAATCTAATACCTAAAATTATATATATTTGATGTTACAGGCAGAATTGATCGCTCTAAGGGAACGCAAGGCAGCGATGTTGGCATTGAACGTCTCGGCGCATCGATTGATCACCGACCTAGGTGCCTCTACGTCTTTGATTTTTACAGCCTTGAAGGACGGCGTAGCTGATCTTTACAGAGTTTGGGACGAGACGTTTCAAAGGTTAGTTGAGTCTTTACGATTAGGTAAATTAGGTTTAGGTCGAGTTTAGACAGTATACCTAACAGTTTTCTATCTCTCTTTTACTTTATTTGCTGACGAAAGCATACGATTTTAAAACCAAATATTGTTAGAGATAATGAAGCCTCGAGAGCAAACATCGAAAGGCGCGAGAAGGCCAGAAGCCTAGTAATGTTCTCTACGGGAGATTTTGAGACCCGTGTTTTGAGACCCGTGGGATTATTGGCTTTAACACAGGGATCGCGAGTTTAATCACGGTTATCCTTGGGGATGACCTGAGGATCTATTAGAAAAATCCTGTTGTCAACGCTCTAAGAAAAGATTCTGTCTTTCGATCAGTAGTTCATTTTAAAAAAAGATTGAAAGGTTCCTACGGTAAACTGTGAATATAGATTCGTGTATAGTTTCGTTCGGATGGAATTCGAAAGTGATTTAACCTCTCTCAAAAACTTTCCATGAGCTTTTCTCCCCTTCCCTTCCTCTTTCATGTGATAGGGATTTTGTACGAAAGGGTTCGTCACTGACCCACTGGGTTTAGCCGAGGTCAATTCCATCCCTCGCTCGTAGAGTCTCGCTCGTGTCCCAGGAATTCCTATTCCTCTTAGGGACGTTCCGTGGTTATCCTGGTATGGCGTTTAAATCGTCCGTCGGCTGATATTAAGCACTTTACGATTGCAAGAACGTGCCTCTAATTGTTCTTTCCTTCGTAAGGCAGTTATTGTTGCGTGTTGTGCGACGTGAATAATAAGAAGACGTACGTTATTAATCCGTGCCAATTCTCAAAGTGTCAATTCTTCCGGTCTCGTTCTTATCCGATTGAAAGATTTCATATTGAAGGGGTCAACTTCGATTTATTCGTCTTCTGACATATATAGATTTATGTAGACTTTCGAGGGTAGGACTAAAATGTTTTTATTTGCCAATAGTGCCGCCGGCAAGGAACCACCAAATAATTCGACGACGGTTCTCTCGATGTTTGCTTCTCGGCTTTACCACATTTCCACTTTTTATTATGTTTACCTGTCAGATTCTTTTTTGGGGAGATCACTGAGAATGACTCGAACTTATTCCCCTATCCTTGTTCTTCTTTTCTTTCTTTATTTTTTCTTTATATATATATTTTTTTTCTTTTTTTTTTTTCAGAGGAAATCAACGTCTATGCGCTCTTCAAACTGTCCAACAATTTAGCATACGCCTGTCGGAACTTCAATGCGATTTACGTAGAGACAAGGATACTCTAGCGGTGCTGGACGTTGCTCTTCAAGCCGGTGCTACTTCGGAAGTTGCCTCTTCTGTACGTCACGTTGCTCGTCTTCTTTCAGAGAAGCAAGAGGTTCATTCTCAGGTGAGTAGATTCTTTCTGCTCGAGTCAATCTAAACGTGATTATCAAAAGTCCTTCGAGTCTCTTCTCTTCCTTTTCTTAAGATTCACAGTCGTGGGGTTGAACTCCTTACGATAGGGTCGTAAGATTCAGGGGTCATGTTCAACTTGTAAGGAGGAATAAGGAATGAGGATGCTTATAGGGGGCTTCGTTTGACGCATGACACTTGTCGATATCGTGTCTCGGTTAAACGCCATCGCGAAGACCGATCCCCCTATTCCAAGCATATCCGTCTTGTATTTGCATATAAAGTAAGCCCTCTCACTTTCCTTCCTTATGCCTTGTCAAGAAGACGTACTGCCCGCGATACGACGAGCTTTATTCTTGGCCCTCAGGGCAAACCCTTTAAATTTATAACGAAAATCGAGCTAATCTAGGTCACTGAAGTATATAAGCTTTTTTCTCTCGTCAAGGTGTTGCCTGTATCACTTTACGGGTAAACGGTATTACTAGAGCTCGTTCGCCTTCGCGAACGCGTAGCTCTAGTACATGTAGAATTGGGAATACGAAAGAAAAAGAGAGAGAGAGAGAGAGAGAGAGAGAGACGAAAAGAAAAAGAAAAATAAAGGAAGAGGGATGAAGCAGTCGCAAGGCACGTCTGGTCCGACGATTTCCAATTGTCCCGGCGCTCATTTCGTCTGTCAAGAAGACGTACGACTCGCGACACAATACACCCTCACTCTTCTACCCTCTGACTAGTGTCGCTGCTGTTACTCCTACTACTACTGCCACTGCTGGAGATAGGGTAACAGTCGAGCGAGCATACTTTCAACCGTATTCAAACTCCCGTCAAGACGGAACGATCCAGCGAGTTTCTACTTTCGCCGATCTACAGTACTCGAGGGGATAATTTCATGCACTCGGCATTACGTCTTTCTTTTCTCAAGCTTTCGAGTTCTTCTCCTCCTGTGAAAAAGGAAGAAGGTGAAGCGAAGGTAGAAGAACGATACAAAGAAATGTTCTTTTGCCTTTTCTCGCGGTACGCGGATATAAATTTTGATAGGAGTTTAAATAAAATATCAAGTTGGTTGGGTGGATGGTGTGCGCATGTTCTAGTAGCAAGCAAGAAAACTAGCTAGCTAGCTAGCTAGATGGCCAGCTAGCTAGCAGCTTCGAATGTTGATCCTTCAACGGTTCAGGGCTGGCCAGTAACGGGGGTGTTGGCCATCTCAGAGGAGGAACCCGCTCCCTAGGGAACTTGGATCGTTAATCGCCCGAACGATTCTCTTTCGCATCACGTACCGGAGTGGTCCGTGGAATCAGCGTAAAAATACAAATTTAATAACGTCCGCGGAAGGCGCATTCTCTCCTACCATCCTGCTTAACGAAAAGCAACCTTTTTTTAACTTTACTGTTTTGTTTTTTTCATTCTTTTTATTTTTTATTTTTTTTTCCTCTTTTTCTTGTTTTATTCTGTCCTCGGTCAAGGACGGAAGAAGAAACATCAGAGGAAACGTCGCGTGTCTTCTGTCTGTTTCTCAGCTTCCGCATGTCTTCGAGATATAACTGGAAATGAGCCGAGCGTCTTGACTTTCCTACATAGTATTTGTTATATATTGTGAATGTATGTATATATGTGTATGTGTGTATATACATATATAGGTTAGCTCGGAGGTTGCTACTTGGTATGCGGATCGCGCTTTTCATTACCGGAGGCTCGTTCCCTCCGTCTCTTCTGCTGCAAACAGCCTAAATCTACCTCCTCCCTCCCTCTCTCTCCCTCCCTCTCTCTCCCTCCCTCCCTCTTTCCCTCCCTCTCCCTCTCTTTTTCTTTCTTCCTCCATCGTTCTTCTCTTTCAGTCCCCCTCTCTCCATCTTCTACCCCCGTTCGACCGTGTCTCCACTTCGTTCTCATTTGTATTTTTGGATTTCTCCGTTTGATTGTGAGAGGCGAATGAACAATTTCCTGGATGAATTCGTCGGTGAAAGTCGCCAGCGAATTATCGCAATTTTTTATCGTCATATGGGGTTGACCCGTTATGAAAAAAAATGTCGAAAAATATGAATTTGTTAAAAATATGCTTAGAATCATTTTTTTTTCAATTGGTATTATCAATCGTGTTGTTTGAAAATAACAAATATATTTAAGGTCCTCGAGTTAAATGGAACATCCTCTGTCTGTGTATGCGTGTGAGTGTATATGTATATATACACATATAAAGCTACAGGATTCTCTTTACCTTTGCCAATCTTTTGACAGCGGATTATGCGATACTTCGCAGGATGCCTCGCGGCTACACTCAAGCGATCCGATCAGAACAGCTTTGAAAACAACATCGAACCCAAACCTTCTTCTTAACTTTCAGAACGAGACGGTGATAATGAATGATGCGACGATCGTGGAAATAACTGCATGTCCTTTGGCAAAGTTTACTGATCAGTCAGCAACGTTATTGAGCCAAGAAGGTGGTTCACTATCGGACAGTGGAATATCTGATAGCGGTAGCGAGCAGGAGCTGAGCGAACGAGAACGTCGATTGGCAGCTCTTCGTCGTTTGACGCGTAGCTTGGAGAATCAACTTGATCCAGGAAGCGAAGCTTTAACCGAACTTTGGAAAAGGGTCGAGGACGCTGAAATCGAGCTACGTGATTTACAGAAACAGTGTCGTGAACTGATCGTTCGTACTGCAGCCAGCGTCGAAAATCGTACTATTAAAAGAATGTCTGGTCAGCATCATTATCGTACCGAGTGAGTATTCATAAAACTTTGAAGCTATTACACGTTTTAATAATCCATTTACTACTATAGTCCAGTGTTATTAGAAGCTATTCAGAAGAAACAAAATTTACCTCTTCCCAAAAGTTCATCTCTACAAGTTCTCTTTGCGATCCATGAAATTATTTCAAGGACAGACAAGAGACCTTTCCCTTTCGAAGGAAGTTCCAATCACGATTCAACTCTGGTCAGAATATCGTTGGCTTTGGTGTCTTATCAAAACTTTCCTTCAAGTATCTCTCTCTCTTTTTTTCTCTTCTCTCTTTTTCTCTTTATCTTTTTCTCTTTCTCTCTCCCTTACTTTTATAGTCGCCTTTAATCGCAAGAAGAAAATAGGTTCATTTGAAGTAGGTGTGAAACATTCGGCACGTAGCCTCGTAAAAAAAGTTATAAAAAGACTCTGTTTGAATGGAGTTACGTGTTCGTAACCTCGAGTCTGATCTCAAAACCGATAGTTAACATTCCTCATTATTTTCTGTTTTGTTCTATTATTTAGCAAACGCAAGAAGGCATCTGGCAATGATGACAACAACATTGGTGATGATGCAATTAAAGATCAATCAGAGATGGACGCTTATGTTGGTACAACAAAATCCGAGGACACTGGTGATCCGGAGAACGAACCGGACATTCCTCATAGTTGGATATGGCGTATCCTGAGGGCCGCATTGCCCTTTCAGTTGGCTCTAGTCGCTCTTTTCTGTGCCGCCTGTCTCCTCGAACCACATTGCTGCGAAGCGGCCAACACTCTCAATCTCTCTTTGACTCCGCAGCTTCGTTACATCAGAGGGCCCCCTCCAGTGTAAATAAACGTCGCCCAGTTCGACCGATTCGTTACAGCACAGAATATGTGTGGGTGTTTGCGTGTATGTATATGTGTACGTTAAGTGTGTGATGTGTGTGTGTGTGTGTGTATGTGTATTTGTGTACATATGTGTGCGCGTGTGCGTGTATTTGTATACGTATGTATGCTCGATGACAGTGCCGTCGTTCGTAACTTGATCGACGACTTTTTTCTTTCTAGTTTACGCACTGCCCTCGTTGTTTTCTTGATATATATATATATATGTATATGTATCTCTGTGTGTGTGTTATATATGTATGTATATGTTTATGTATGTATGTTTTTGTACACTGCCTGCTTCGTCGTCAGATCGACGATTAATTTTTCATTATGCTCAAATTTTCTTACGCGAGGAGTACAACTGGAAAGAAATAGTCTTTGTTCGAAAATTGATTCAAAGATTTCATTCGAGAACTTGTTTAATCATTTCGTTCGAGTTATGACGATCGAGCATATTTTTATTTGTTCTCTTCTTCTTTGTATATATATATATATATATATATATATATCTTTATTTATAGAAATGCTATTTATCGAACAAAGAGATAAATGAGAGAAGACCGGGTAAGTATATATGTAATATATATATATATATATATATATATATATATATATATATATATATACATATATAAAATACATGAACGACTATCTGTCGAGAAAGTTTTCAAATGGATTTACTAATTTGATATGATTGATATACAATATATATATACGCATGTGTGTGTAGAAGTTACACAAAGATATATACGTATCTAATGTATTCGAGAATGAATACGAGGAATAATATTTTTTACAGAGGACCGGTTAATATAATATGGCGAATTTGAAGTCGCAACAAATAATAACGTTATAATAATTACATGGAAGATCATAATGATCGAGTTATTAACGATGATAGGATTCTTTTTTATTTTTTATTGTTAGAAGAAGAAATATATATTTATTGAAAGACGTATGGCGGACCAATATGGCAGCCGAATATATCATTTCCGAATAAAAGCGGTTTGCTTTCGGAAAATGAAAAACACCACGTAGAATGAAAAATCGAAATTGAGTTCGATTTAGACGTACCAGTATTGCGAGTATTTACACATTATACGTTACTATTCTCGCAGAAAGATTTATACGATCCGACTTTAAAGAGAGCCTTTTACTTATCTGGGTAGAAGGATGAGGAGAAAGAGGAAGTAGAAGAGAAGAAGAAGTAGAAATAGTAGAAAAAGAAACAGGTGTAGATCGAAGTAGTAAAACCGATTTTGTTTCTACTGTCGTTTCTTGAGACAGTGACAGAATTGGAAAGTAGGCTTTGATTCGGTGATAAAGCCTTCGAAGGAATCAGATAGATGATAGATAGATAGATAGATAGATAAATAAAGAGAGAAAAAGAGAGAGAGAGGGAGAGAAAGAGGAAGAGAGAGAAGATAGACAAAGAGAGAAAAATGTAAGTTTCATTGGGGATAACGGGAAATCGTTCTGCGGACCAGTATTTTTCTATTTTCGTCCAGATTCACTGCACATACGTATGTATGTAGCTTGTTAGAACATGATCTCCCATCACCATCTTCATTTCTCGTTACACCATCATCGTACACACCACCGCTCGCTCACGTTTTCGTCATTTATTTCGTCTTTTTATTTATTTATTTTTTTTTTTTTTTTAATGTTTTTTTCCTCAATATAATTCTCTTCCTAACAAGAAAGAAGAATTTTTCATTATTAAAAATCAAATTAGATCGGAAAACGATAAAAATTCCGAATGCTAATTTGAATTCGTTAAATATCATGTTCATCAATTTTGTTTTTTCTATAATAATGGTGTATATATACGATCGATTACGACGTATAACGAGAAGATTATCTACAAGAGATTAGATTTTCGCTTATTATAAAGCGTGTTACACTGCCATCGTAGAAGAGAAGAGACGTTCATTAAAAAATCTTATTTACTCGTTTATAATGAACAAACGGATGTGCAAAATAGATAAAGAAGTGTTAGTAGGAGTATTGTCTGTTATAATACAGACTTTGATGCTAATTGAACAGTTGATAACGAAGATCGACAACAATCCATTTGAAGGGATAGCACAACTATTTTTATTTCTTTTCATTTTTTTTTCTTTTCTTTTTTTTTCTCCATTTCTTTTCCTTTTGATATCGATATCACTTCGATATCGAGTCGCTTACTAATACGTTAAAAAGATAAATAAAACGATCAACTGTGTTTTTTACAGTTAAAGTAGATAACCGAAAACGGTTTGATGATTCGTGTATTTTTAATACGCGAAAATGGAGAAATATTTATAAAGACGTGAAATCGACATCGATTACTGAACATGTCATCGTCTTGTACACACATACACACTCACAAAATGAGCTTATTTTTTCTTTTTTCTTTTTTCTTTTTTTTTTTTATTTCATCGTTGAGAACATCAATTAATCGTGTTTTTTGAGGTAGAGCGTAGAAAGGTAATTATACGCTTTGTGTAAAGTTCTTCACGATTTATCAGAAAGACACATTTAACAAAACTTTCTTTCATTCACGACGAATTATGATTACAGGACAATTCTATTGCAATCGCGATGATGACTTCCGATCTTTCGTACGATGCTTACCGTGTAAGCGTACTCATTTGTGTGTATTGAAAAAAAAAATAAATAAAAATAGGAATAAAGTAAAATAAAAACAAAGATAAAAATAAAAATAAAAATAAAAATAAAAATAAAATAAAAATAAAATAAAAAAATTAGCAATAATGTATTGCTAACGCTTGCTCGGATTCATTAAAGATGACTAGCGACGCACTTTAATCCATAATCGACGAAATGCATTTTGCAGACTATTTTACATCTTTTACATTATACGTTATGACGTATGACAACGACGTTATTTGAATGCATTTTCATAGAAATCGCGTACATCGATATTACTCGAGTAAGTACGTGTCGGCGTTTTAAAAGAAGATTCACGATTGACCGTTCAGCATTGAACGGCGAATCGACGAAAAACTTGTAAGTTTTTCGTAATTAAAGAAACAATTGATGATCGATCGATCAATGGATCGATCGTATTTGTACATTTATGATTTATGTACTGCAGCGATAACTAAGGAGAGAGTATGCGATAATACCTATCCTTCTTGCTCTCCTTTTAGGATAATGTGGGATTTTAAACAAAAAAAATTAATAAAAGAATGAAAAAAAGACTAAGAAAAAAAGAGATGGAGGGAGAGAGAGAATCGTTGAAGACGGAGATACGAAGATAAAATAAGGGTAAAAGTTTGTTTACATGATTAACGACGAACTATCATATATCCTACAAGTATCAACGAAATGTACAACTTTTTTTAAATGATTTCCTCGTTTCATTATTATTATTATTATTATTATTATTATTATTATTATTATTATTATTATTATTATTATTATTATAATTATTATTATTATAATTATTACTATTATTACTATTATTATTATTTTTCTTTTTCTTTTTTTTTTTTACACAACTATCTTAGCTAATTACTTTAACGACGATAATTGTGTGTTGTAGACCATGATTTCATCCGAAAGATTGTTCGTTTTTAGATGACAAATATAAATTGACGGTTTCGAAGTCGTTCTTTCGATATTATCAAATAGTATTACGTTTAGTATAACACGGAACTGTTCTTAAATTTTTAACTATTTCGATGCTCCAATTTTACGTTGTCCCCTTTGGGATGATTTTTAATAAAATGAAATATTATTCGATAGAATCGAACATTCTACTTTGATGTATCGAAATTGATCGAACGATGAATTTGTACGGATAAATTCCAATTTGTTCGTCAATCGATCGCTCGATTAATAGATCGAAAAATAGATAGATAGATCGATTTCACCGTCTCCCATTAATATTTTCTTCTCCTTTAGTCCAAACTTGAAAGTTATCTTGTACTTTGGAGATTTTACTCTGAATAATTATTAAAGTAACCCTCGCTAATTAAATGTTTTTATAATACATGATTGAAATTTTATGCCCGATCAATGAGTATGAGCGTTTTGAAATTTTAATATCAATTGGAAATGTCATTTTAATTATTTTTACGTATTAGAATTTTTTTAATTTTAATTCTTTTTACGGTTTGTTGGGCATCTTTTGTTTCATCGATTTCTCTTATTTCCATTTCATCGAAGTATATAGATAAATATGGAGAAGTAACATATATTAAAAAAAAAAAAAAAAAAAAAAGAAAAAAAGAAAAAAAAAGAAAAAAGAAAAAAGAAAGGAAAAAAAGATTTGCGCTTTTACTTCTCACTTACATTTATGATACATGTATAAAGTACCTGAGAAATCAAAATATTTTACGTTTAATGATAATATGCAGTATCTCTTCGCTTGCATTCGTGACGATGCATTTTTCATTTCATGTTTTTTTGTATTTTTTTTTTTTTTTTTTTTTTTTTTTTGTATTTTATATTGACACCCACTTATCGTGGTTGTTTAAACTTATGAGATGCGTTCGATTAATAAATATATAACGATCGTATTCGCATCTCCTGCATGCGAATCTTTTCCTTAAAAATTATTATCTTTGAACGATATAAGAATATTTCTGTAAAAAAAAAAAAAAAAAAAGAAATAAGGAAAAAAGGAAAAAAAGTAAAAAGAGAGAATTACGATCCTTACGGAATATTTGACGTTGCGTTGGTGTCTACAAGTTTTTTTGTGTTTTTATTTTCATTTTTTGTTTCTTTTCATTTTCGTTTTATTTTTGTTCTTTTTTTTTTTATTACAATTTACTACTCACGCTAATATCTCCTTATCCTTGCTGTTACTGTTTCTTCTTGTTATTTATTATTACTTAGCTTATAAAACCTGTAGACAAACCCACGATATCACGTCTCTATTTTGTCTGGTTTTTTTTTTTTTTTTTTTTTTTTTTTTAAGAACTACTTGCTTTCTTGTAACGTGAGAATGGTTCTAGAATATATTAAAATTATATTTTCAAAATCAAATGTGTTAAAGAATCTGGTTCGTTATTTCACTGAAGTTAAACTTTAAAAAGAGAAAAGAAATTACTATGTTGTATTAAAGAATCTGGTTCATTATTTCACTGAAGTTAAACTTTAAAAAGAGAAAAAAAATTACTATTTTTCTAAGATTTTAAGCCTACAAATAGAGAAGAGCATCGAAACAATCAAAAACTAATCAGCGACTAACGAGCGTGATTCTTAAAAAGAAAAAGAATAAAAAGAGAGTATTAAAATTATATTAATGGTATGCTGATCATTTCAATGTTATAAGCTTGTTTTTATTTGTATATGTCGAATGGTAACGAAAAGTTCGTCTTTATGTTAGTCTCTTGACAAGACTTTAAAAATTATTATTAATTATTTTAGTAAATTTATAAATACATAAAAGTTTATAGAAATGAACGATAAAATCGAAACAGTAATATTGAAAAAAAAATAACAATTTTTTATTATTAATTATGTCATTGTTCTTGCATACAGACGATTTTTCGTTACTCTGTCTATTTCGAAAAGATTGCTATTGAATTTCGCACTTTTATAGTCATACAATATATCTTCAAGTAATACCTGAACTGTAAAACACGTTGCCGAGAGGGGGGGAGAAGGAAAGAAAGACAGAGAGAGAGAGAGAGAGAGAAAAAGAGAAAGAGAGAGAGACAGAGAGAGAGACAGAGAGAGAGAGAGAGAGAGAGAGAGAGAGAGAGAGAGAGAGAGAGATAGAGAGACAGAGAGAGAGAGAGAGATCGTATCCGTATTTAAAGAAACATTGTGTAATGTATTTCGGCATTTTGAAATAAAAATAAATTATAAATTCTTGAATTGGAGTTAACAATACCTTCCCAACAACAATACCATTTATCGTTCCATTTAGAAATTTTAAATAAAGTTAGAGAAAAATTAAAAAGAAAAAGAACATTAAATAATTAAAAACATAATAAAATAATCGATATAATAGAACATCTGCTCAGCATGTTTGAAAGTTTCTTAACTTATTGTTATTGTGAAATTTTAAATTGAACTAGAAAAAGAAAAAAAGACGATTAATATTTAACGTGTAATTGAAAACAACATTCTTATAAGTAGATGTGAATATAATAATAATAACGTTTGGATTATTTAAGAGTAACTTTTAGTTATTATGAAATTTTAAAGTGTGATAGAAAACAATAGAAAAATAATAAAAAGAATACGACTAATAATAAATAATAAAAAATACATTTTTTTTTAATTACATGTCGATGTAATAAGAAAAAGTATATTGATCGTTTGTAAGTTTCTTAGTTTATTTATTTTTAATCCAGTTATTGTTGTTGTAAAATTCCAAATCGAGGTATTAAAAAAGAAAAAAAAAGAAATTAAGAGAAAAAGAATATAAATAATGAATAATAAGAAATATAAAATTAAGATAGATTAGTTAATGCGATGGAGAAAATATTTAAAACATTGCAATAGGTTCTTAGCTTAGTTGGTTACTCTATGGAAATGCTTATGTTAGTCGAATATAGAGAATGGAAAAGAGATAGAGAGAAACGTAATGCCAACTGCATCTTCTTCGATAATAATTCACTGACGATTGATATAGCGGTACGATGATTGCGATGTTCCCAAGTCCGATCGCGTCGGCCTCACTGAAGTCGATACGAAGCTACGGATACGTTCGAGGTGAAAGGGCGAGCCCGCTATATTATTACGACTCACACCTGTACCTACAGGTAGGTTGCGCCAATGCTTCTTCCCCTTATATTTCCAAGCGGAACCGCTAAATAAATTATTATTACCATTACAACGCCATAGATTTCCCGCATAATCATTTCGCATATTTCTCTTCTCTTCGTTTGTCATTCCGAAAGAAAATTTTCTATTTATTTTTCCAAATTTTCTTGTTTCTTTTGTTCGATCTCTACAAATAAAAATGTAAAATACGATTAAAAGAATTAAGAGAGTGATCGAAATCGTGTTTTCTTCTTTTGGAAATTGACATAATATGTTTCTTTTTTTATATATATAATATATAAGATCGATATAAAACAAAATAAGAATACAATTTTTATATAGATCTTTTACTTGGAACACTTTAATAATTATTACAACATTTATAAGAATAGATGATTATAAGACGATAAAGAAGATACGAGAATTAAAAAAAAACAATTATTTATAAAAATTTTAAAAAGATATGTAATTTTCTTATCTATCAGTAGAAAAATTCGAGACAAGCGTTACTATTGTAAAGAGAAGAAGCGTAAACGAGATGACTCGTTCGGGCAAAGTACTAATTTGTAATTTACGAGAGAAAAGTGGAACGAGGGGATGTTATACGCGAATGCGCGTTAACGCCAGTAAATGAGTTGAGACAAGATGTATTATTTTTTTCGTTTACGTGCCTGCCCTCAACTGACTCGCCTCTATGACTCCTGTGGGGTTCTCTTCACCCTTTATTCTTTCTCTCCGTAGTTCCTCCGATTCTTTGTCCTTTGCTTCGCTTATTTCCCCACCACCCTTGTTTTACCTTCGTAGAAGGCGAAAGGGTTGAGAGAGAGAGAGAAAGAGAGAGAGAAAGAGAGAGAGAGAGAGAGAGAGAGAGAGAGAAAGAGAGAGAGAAGGGCCAAGAACTGTAAATTACCAAGAGGGCATTTTGATTAAATTTTTTA